TTTTTTTTTTTTTTAATCAAAGTGGCCTAGAAACTTGGGGAAAAGGAAAATTAGAGGAGCCTTTCCTATAGTCCTCACTAGCTCTTCCTACTGCCCTTCCACTTGTGAAACACAAGTATAGCAGAGGCATGCATGTGTGTTCGCATACACACACACAACCTCTGGCTCATCCCCTACGACCCCATCCAGGCTTACCGAAAGAATGTGTGATGCTCAATGCAGACCTTCCACAGTCTTTTGGCTGATCGGTGGTTTGGGAGCTTAAAGCCTATTGTGCTCTCAAACTGCTCATACTGGAAAATGAAGAAGAAGGAGTCAGAGGCCAGGTAGGGGCCCACTCTCAAATAGATTGCTTGATGAGTGAGATGTGGAGATTGAAAGAAAAGAGGTTTGGACATAAACATGTTTGTATAGGTGTGGTATACCTATACAATTGTATATTGTGTGGGAATGTGTCTGTATAGTTTACTGTATGGACATTTAAAAATACATGTACATGAAGACATTTATCTGTGTAGCTTTAATACATGCAGTTATCTTTAAATTTATGTTTTCTTTAGCATTTCTGGGTTTTTTTTGTGTGTGTGTGTCCCCATGCATAAACCTAAGGTATGATGTCTATGCAGAGTTATAGCAGGAGAGTTCTCCCGACCCAGAATACCAGCACCCTCTCTCCATGTACCCTGAGTAGCAGAAAGCCCATGTCCAGTTACCAGAGTTTACTCTGTTCTAGCCAATTCTAGGCTCACCTCCCCAGGCCGGATCTTGATATAGAAGTTACTCCTCTTGTAGGAAATCTTGAGTATCTTGGGCCAGGCAAAACGGTTGATTCTCAGCCGGTCTCGGTAGATGAGCAGGCCGTTGGCACAGACGCCTAACATGATGTCAATGCCCTCGGAGTCCTGCATGAGACGAGACCTTGGAATGAGAGGCCCAGGGTCCAAGACTAGGGGCAGACCTGCCTTCCATCCCCGGGGGGCCTGAGCTATGATGGCAATGAGCCCCATGTTGGCACTCCACTAGCCAATCTCTTAACTCTTCATTCATTCACTCACTCAGTTAATTTTTCACAAACTCACTTGTTGCCTCATTTACTCTTTCAATCATTCATTCATTCATTCACCCATCCAATAAACACTTAGCGGCACATACTTGGTACTAGGCCACATGCTAGGTGTAAGGGAAATGGAAATAAATTAAGGCCGACGTCTTCCCCTCATGCTGCTTCCAATCTAGTGATAGCACAAACAGATTCATAAATAAATATAATACAAGGGAAAATGATAAAATCATGGGAAAGCAAAGGGTCATGGAATCCTCCTTCTAGGAATGAAAAATTAGGATAAAAGAGTCTTCAAGCTAAAGATAACATAAGGTCTGGCTTACCACACCCTCTGAGCACCACCCAGATGCTAGGGACCCTCAAGCACTTGGGCCAACTCCAAACCATGGAACCCTCAAGCACCTGGGTCAGTTCCAGGCCCAGTCAACCTCGGTACCTTAGCATGGTGCAGGTCCACCCCATACATGGAAAGCTTCTTGGCATTCTCTAGGAAATGAATTTCGGCTTCTCCTGGGGTCATGCCCCTGAGGGAAAGAAAGTGAACACAGGTGGACTTGAGAAAGGCTCAGGCCTGTGGCTGAGGGTGGCCACAATTAGAATCTGTGGTTCTAGAAAGGCAAGCATTCTGGAACATTATGGAGCAGGTGTATGAATGGGCCTCTGCCATCTATCCCCTCTGCCCTCAGTGAGGGATAGTGCACCTCCAGCCCCCTCCTCAGTCTACCCAACCCCTGTCTTCTGACAAAGATTAGGCTCAGGTTTCCTCCAGGAAGCATTGAAGGGAGAAGCTAGGAGTCACAATTCTTGCTTTATTCTGCCTCTGAGTTAAGTGAAAACCATGAATTCTTCCTCTCCATGACTGGGAAACCATTGTGGAAGACATTGATCATTATAATCACCCAGCGGCTGCTAAATTATTACTCATATAAGATCTTTCCCCTTAGAGTTTAGGATTAGAAACCACTTAATCTTGCTAAGGAATGGGGCCACGTTCTCCTTTCTGAAAAGAAGAAATTTTAATGTAATTAATCAAGTCCTCTCTTTACTTTGGCTACCAGGAAACCTGGAGAAAATTTTATTCCCAGTCACAGCAAACATTTATTGAGTCCTATGTGACTGTTCTAAGCACTTGATATGTATTAACTCATTGAGACCTCACAACAAATCCTATGAGGTAGGTATTATTAGTATTTCCATTTTACATTAAAAAAAAAAACAACAAAACTACGGCACAGAGAGTTTGAATAATTTGCTCATGGGCACAGTGCTCTTAGTAGCAGAACCAGGATTTGAATCCAGACAATGTGACTCCAGAGTCTGTGTTCTTAATCATTTTACTCCTTCTGTCTCTTATATTTTCTGGGCCTCACTTTCCTCTGTCCTGCTGACCTCACTGAGCTGCTGTGTAAGACACCTAGACACAAGAAGCCAATGTGCTCTAAGGCAAAAGAGCTATACAAATGCCCACTAACATTTCTCCAGCTCATAATGATGAGAACTTCCTTCGGATTATTACAGCTCTTGCAGATCTCTAACACATTTTGCTCTCTAGGACAGGGATGACAAATAGATGGCAGGCAGGCCACCACTCCCTATTTCAACACCCAGGGGACATTACCCATTAGTTACATAGTCTCAGTATTTTACTTAACATAATACTATAGCAGCTACCACTAACCAATCAGAGTGGGCATGCAAGTCCATCACACACTGCAGGTTTCTGTCCCATATGCATGATCCCCCACTATCTGGCCCTGGCCCTCTTCTCCACAAGCAGTGAGCACACACACCTCTTTTCATTCCCTTCATCCTCATTAGCAGTGAGATAATAGCGCCACCTTCCTTCCCCCATGCACAGCACTAAACAGTTTAGAATGCACTATCACATCATTTAGCACATTGAAGTCCCTTAACAACTCTGGATTTAGTGCCCAAAGCATTTCCAGCTTAAACGGACCCTGGAGATCATTTCAAGAGTTCTCCTCAGTGGGTGTTATCACCTTCACAGCAAGCACTTGGAAATGTGTGTATAGGGTGGACACGAGGGGGCATATTCATTGTTACAATGACACAGGACGTGTTATGAGCATCTAATGCCTGGGGTCCAGGGAAGCCAAATATCCTGCATAATGAAGACTTTTCCTGTCCCGTGTACCAATAGTTAGAAACAAAGAAAGCAAATCCATGGCCATACACCTAAGAGTGAAAATGTGGCTCAAGTGAATCACACATTTAGTTAATTATCAGCTAAATCCTGAAACAAGTTTCTTTCCACTACACAGTCAACTCTGCAACCCCACAAGGCACAGATGGCAATAATAATAGCTGATATGGTGTGCTTTTAACATGAGGGGGTTTCAAAAAGTGCATGGAAAAATTGCATTATCTTTTAATTCCATTTTTTTCCAAGATCTTCCTGAAGCACCTTCATATGTACCATGTCATTCTCCTGAAAAGTCTACTAGGTAGGTTTCATTAGGACTCACGATGTACAGTTGTTGTTGTTCAGTGTTGTCAAGTCGGTCCTGACCCATAATGACCCTGTATAGGGTTTCCAAGAAGCGGCTGGTGAGCTTCTGACCTTGTGGTTCAAACGGCTTTGCAGCCCAGTGCATTAGCCCACAGTGCCACACCAGCACACCCAAGTATAGAAGAGGGAATTCAAGCATCCCCATTGCTATGGAGTCTCAACTCCAACTCACAGTGACCCTGAAGGATAAACAGAACTGTCCCTTAAGGTGTCCCAGGCTGTCGTCTTAACAGAAGCATGATATCCCATCTTTCTCCCACAGAGCTGATGCATACATTTGAATTTTCAACCTTTGGGTTAGCAGCCAAGTGCTTAACTACTGTGCCACCAGGACTCCTCAATGAAAGCACAGGGAAGTGAAGTGACTTGCTTAAGATCCCCTGGTTAGAAAGTAACAGAGCCAGAACTGGAACCCAGGCAGTCTGGTTTTAGAGTCCAAACTCTAGAACCTTATGCCAAGCTTAAGACACCAGAACATTTACCCAAAGATACACCATAGTTATTATCTTCTGTTAGCAAATAAAGAAGTATTCTTTGAGATCAAGGACAGGAAATTATCATACCCATATAGGAGTTAAAGAAATAGAGGCCCAAAGGGGTCATATTTAAGGCCACACAGCAGGTTTCATTTCCACTTGACAGAGAGTTGACTGACAGCTGAAAGGAAAATGAATGAAACTTTGGTGGTGTGTGATATTGCTGAAGATTTGGTGGAAAAGCTGAGAAAATTTTGTTTTTGTAAAGAAACAAACAGGGCGGCCATTATAGTAAAGATTGATAAACACTTAGTGGTATTGGTTTAGGAACTTAAGGATATCACACCAGAGAAATTTAAAGATAAAACCATACTTCATTGTGTATAGTTATAAATATCAACATGATGATGAAGAGTTTCAGATCCTTTGTTTTTTATTTTCTCCAGTCCTGTTGGATGTAAGCCTAAACAACAGATGGTGTACGCTGGGATTAAGAATAAGCCAGTCCAAACAGCTGAACTAACCAAGGCATTTAATGTAAGAAATACCGAAGTCCCAGACCTAACTAAAGAATGGCTATGTGACAGAGATTCAGCGAGATGAGGCAATTTGCTCTCAGACACTCATTAAGGGCAAAGACAGGTGGGATTCCTACAGTACTATGATCTTCCTGGGATGCAAGGAAGGTTCTAGCCAAACAGTAAAGGATCCAAGAATATGACCCTCTCACCTGTATGTCTTGTGTAGCTCCATGATCCTCTCCTCCAGTTCCCGGGTCTGGTTAGGGGCAAAGCGGAGCTCGCTGACATAGTTGCCCACATGCTCTTCAGCATCATAGTCGCCCATCTCCGCCTGCACAGCGTAGGAGCCCAGCAGGGCATGCGTGACAAAGGAGCAGGGCAGGCGGCCTGTGATGATGTCTGCCCGCAGCTGCAGGCACAGGTAGTATCTGGAGATAAGGGAGAGTGGGCATGGGACGGGGCCCCGCTCCTTTCCTAGATTCCCCCATCAACACATCAGATGCAAACTGGTCAATACACAACTTAGTAGAAAAGGAATACTCCTAGTTACGGAAATTTCATGTTGAACATTTAGTTGTGTTCCATTTTATAGGTTTTATAAAATTTTACACAACTTTAAGCATTTTTGTTCAATTTTTAGCTTGAGCAATTTTTCATATTTGGGGAGCATTTTGAACTTTTATATGTCATTTTTTGGGGGTCAATAAGGACTATTTTACTGGTTTGAGCATTTTGTAAAATTTCACATGTTTTAAATTATACAATTAGTATTAGTTTCATTGTAGGAAAAAAATGCAAATTTTAGAGGTGACTCTAAATTTCCTTTAGCTGCCTAGTATCATTCCTAATCCCCTCCCCCAGAGGTTACTACATTATTAGTGTGGTGTTCTAGATCGTTCTTCCTCAACAGACACACAGAGATGAACACAGTTTTTTAAAATATAAATGATATTCAATACTACATCTAATTCGACACCTTGCTTTCTCAAACCCAAACACCAGCCTTACAGCCATCCCATACATTCCATGTGTACACCAGTGACCCTGTTTCATTCCTGTCACTCCTATTCTGTACTCCACAGCCCGGGGTGGGCCTGTGTGCCAATGAATTCCCAAGACTTCTTTATTTTGCCTCCAGCTTCTAAGTGAATTGTTTAAAAAATAAATTGGCTTAAAAGAAACATTTCCAATTACCAGGTCATGATTTTTTATCACTTTTATGCACACTTGGATGATTTTACAATTTTTAGAATCATTTAATGCAATTTTGATTGCTTCTTCAGTTATTTTGTATTAAAAAAATTTTCAGTCCACTTTCAGCCAGTTACGCCTCCTTGCCCAATTTTCTGTATTTCATGTTTTTGTTTTGTTTTTTCAATTGTCTATTTTTTTTTCCTTTTAAGTGGCTTTGACTTAGCATAATTTTTATTGCCCATGACGTTACTTTGCAGGAAGTACGTGCAGACTCAGTATGTGCTCAGAACCAAGGTGTATGTGGGTTCAGGAACAGCAACAGCAGCTTCAAGACCACAGGTGTGAGCTTATGGGCATTTTGCTTAAAAGTATAAAAATTCAGACATCACTGTCAAACACTCTGACTAATCTTTTACTTCTATGTCATTTGAATTCATTTATTTTTGCCCTATTTTCACTAAATCAGTTGGTACTACCACCCTGTCCCCCTGGGCCTGTCATGCTGGGTAGGACTAACTCCCCTCCTATTGTTGTTATGGTTAAGTACTGTCAAGACAGTTCTGACTCAGAGTGACACTCTATAAGGTTTCTGAGGAGCAGCTGGTGAGTTTGAACCACTGACCTTGTGGTTACCAGTCAAGTGCTTATCCTACAGCACCATACCAGGATTCCAACTTCCCTCCTACTGTCTCGGAAAGCCTGGATGGAGCCCAGGGACTGGCACCAAGAGAAACCCCAGTAGGTAAAGTCAGAACTGCTGGTATAGCTGCCAGGAGATTGAGGCGAGGGGGCTATGGTAGTCTAAAGCTCTCAGGCCTCTTAGGAAACGACTTCACAACCTGCTGCTGCCATCTTGGCCCTAAACTAGTGACCTTTGTTGTTGTTGTTAAGTGGTATTGAGTGGGTTCCAACTCATAGTGACTCTGTATAGTTTCTGAGGAGCAACTGGTGGGTTTGAACCACTGACCGTGGGGTTAGTTATCCAGGGCTTATTGTACAGCACCACACACCACATGAGTCAGAGTGTCTGACACTGACTTCTGAGTTTTTAGACTTTTAAGAAAAATGCCCACAAATCCACACCTTAGTGCCTGTGGTGACCTTGTTGTTGTTAAGTGCCGTCAAGTCAATTCCGACTCTTGGCAATCCTGAACAGGTTTTCTGAGGAGCAGCTGGTAAGCTTGAACTGCCAACCTTGCGGTTCAAACCAGCCTTGTGGTCCAGCACATTAACCCACAGTGCCACATCAGGGTTTATTTTGGAAACCCAAAGGTCACCAACTGTTGACCCTAGGGTTTCCAAAAAAAAAAAGCAACCACACACACAAAAACAAAATCTGTTGCCATGGAATCAATTCTGACTCATGGCAGGCCTGATTTATCCTAGGACATCTGTCTTATCTCCCAAGGCATCTTGACCTTGGCCTGTTGCCTGACAAAGAGGCAGCTGACAGTAAAGAGAGAACCAGTGGCTTAGTAACCCCTCCCTGGCTGCAGAAATAACTCCCATCTTATGGTTGCAGGGAGTGTATGGCCCATCACACAGATGACATAGCCTCATATCGTGAAGTGAGACTATCTCTTTGGATAAAGAGAGGGGCCTCACTCTGCTCTAGTTTTCAGAGGCAGGATGATCCCCATGGAAACTTGTCCCTCCTGCCCAGGGTCAAGGCTCCTTGCAAGTACTTTGCACCCCCTTCTGATCTCTCTGGCCTTCTACTTGAGAACAATGAGAATGGCCATGAAGAACAATGAGACTGCACACATGGTCCCTATTCACCTTAGCAACCCGGATGTACCCTCAAGGGGAGGTCAGTAGTCTCATTTGCCCTTCATGTGCCTTGACATGAGCCCAGAAGTATGTAGGACTACACGCCTGTGTGCAAAGACACCTGTACTCTCCTCTCTCCTTACCCTCAAGGCTGCACACCGGTGGTCTACCCAGCACATCAGAGTCCTGGTGTGTCACTGAGGGTTAATGCGCTGGACTGCAAGGTCAGTTTGAATTGCAAGGTTGGCAATTCAAGCTCACCAGCCATTCTTTGGAAACCCTATACAGGGGCACCATAAGTCAGAACGGACTCAACAGCACTTAACCAAAACAACAACCCAGTACATCAACCTTGAGACTATTTGATTTAGCAGCCACAGAAATGACCCACACAATGCATTTTAAAAGTTTGAATTAGCTGTCAACATTTAAAAATTGTGTTTTTTCCTCCCAAATTTCTAACTTTTCTTCAATGATGGCTCCAGATTCCCTCATGGCAGTGAATTTCCAGAGCTGAAGAGCAGCTATTCTAGATGGGATCTGCTTGCTATGATATGTCCTCCTCTGAGGTCAGGAGTCAGCTGCCAACTGCCCTCATCCACAGTTACACACAGCCAGTATGCCTGCCCCCCTTTCCTCCACAGCCCTCACCTTGTGATGTCTTCTGTCAGCTGGGCAGGGTCAGGGGGGTAGAACTTGACTGTGAAGGCAAAATTCCAGGGGCTGCCTGTGAGGAGAAGATGGGGAAGAGATCAGGGAGGCCCCATCCCCCAGAGGGTGGCCCAGATAGTCTATCTTATGGACAGGTTTTTCGGGCTTTTATTTATAATTTCAGGACAATTCATCAGGCAGGCCAGGCTAGAACACTATCCCCACTTAACAGGTGAGGAGACTGAGGCTCAGCTTGAGACTTGTGAGCTAGCAGTAGAAAAGAAGGGTTAAAGAAAATTGACACTGGATGCCAGGCACACTTTTAATTACTTTACATTGCTTCCCTAAACCTTGCTGAGTTAAGTTCTATGATTATTTCCATTTGCAGAGGAGGTCACTAAAACCCAAGGCAGTAAAGTGGCCAACCCAAGGTCACCTAGCTATGAAGTGGCAATGCTGGGTGAGGTTCAAGGCCAGGCCACCTGACTCCAGAACCCCAGTTCCTTCCTCTACATACAAGTCTAAGCCACAGCATATTAATGCGGAGAAAAGAGCAAGTGCCACATTAAACTGGCTTGGGACTTCTCAGAGCCTTCACTGGGCTACTGTGCACTGGAACTCTAACTGACACCTGGTGTACATGAGTTTCCAAAGTCATTTGACCTGGTGTATCCTATTTCACAGAAGTATTTCCTCAGATGCTACTCCTGACATCAGAAGTGGGTTTGTAAGACTGGAGAAAGGTGTAGTTCTTGCTATAATTAAATTACTTTGTATTACGGTTACTTGGACTTTTGAGGGGATACTGGTGGTCTTGCCTCTAAAGCTTGGTTTGTGAAGTTGGTGCTCATTTTTTTTTTTTTTTTTTTTACCTCTGCATCTATAGTTAGAGACAGGCTCTAGAGCAGGGGTGGGAAACCTTTCATCTGCCAAAATTCAGAACATCATTTGCTGGCCATACAAAAGTACCAACTTAAAAATTAATATGCTATATACTTGGTCAAACATTTAATTAACTCACCCCTAATGTAATGGCTAGGACTCCTGGTATGGTGCTGTAGGATCAGTACTGGACTGTGAACCACAAAGTCGGCAGTTCAAACCCACCAGCTGCTCCTCAGAAATCCCATACAGAGTTTCTATGAGTCAAACCAACTCAACGACACTTAACAACAACACTGGGATGGCTGGAGTACTGGTGTGGTGCTGTAGGATACACACTCAACCACAAGATCTGTTTGAACCACATGGTCGGAGGTTCAAACTCACCAGTTGCTCCTTGGAAACCCTATACAGGGTTGTTATGGGTCGGAACCACCAATTTAATGGCATTTAACAACAATTTTCTCAGACCATGCACTGACAAACATTGCTTTAACCTATGTCAACTCCATGTCAGATGACAGACTTAGATTATAAGAGAGACCTAAGAAGCAAAAGGAAATGGTTAATGTTCAACCATTTCAAGAGATACCATATGAACAAGAGCCAATGATACTCAGAGAGGAAATCCAAAGTGCATTGAAAGA